TACACATCTAAACATGGAAATTAGTCAGAATTATTTAATCTAGAGAGAATTAAAGGATTAGGATGTTTAGAATATTACCTACATTCTTTAGGAGGTAAACATGTTTAAACTGAATGGTTTAAAAAGTTGGAACCATTGAGCCAGTATTAAGTTTTAGAGCTGATGCTTTTTAGCTGTAATGATTGGACCGGTTTTCCTTCTTCCTCTGCAGTTCTTGGTGAGTGTCCCTGAGAGGGTTGTCCCTCTCACCTTTTTTTGGTTACCTGTTTGAGGTTTGATTTGTAGCTCCAGCTCAGTAGATGCTGTTCAGTTTTTTTTATTATTTTGTTGTTGACACACCCATTTGAAGATCATTTTCTCAGTAATTAGTAATAGAATTCAGTTTATATAGCGCCAATTCACATGTCAATATCAGATCATACAGTCAGATGAGTTCCAAAGTTTTCTAAGGAAAACCAGTCGAGTTTATTCGCTTCTATTTTGTCCCAGCAACTCCTTACACTGAGCATGCGTGTAGCGACAGGAAGAAACCTCCAGCAGAACCAGGCTCGGTGTGAGCGGTTTACTGCCGAGGCCCACTGAGGTTCAAGGAGAGAGAAGCACTGATCCATAAAAGCTTTGTTAGAAAAGGTAATAGCTCTACAGGTAAAGTCCATCTAGAAAAGAAGCAGATGGGCTCTGAGTCAGTTTTCATGTCAAAGGGATGAAAGAGCACATAGTTATTCAGAGTACAAGCTGAACTCAGAGCTTGTCTAGGAGAGAAACAGGACTAAACACAAATAAACAGGCCCTATTCTATAACTGTAGGTGTTAATGACAGCAGCCCACCTGATAATTCCGTCTACGATCACAGCCAGAGAAAAAGCAGAGAGAACATAAAGTTAGTCTCTGAACTAACCCTGCGGAAAAAGTAGAATGACAGAAAAAAGAGTAAAGTTAACTGCATGTCCTCAAGCAGTCTAAGCCTATAGCAGCATAACTATAGTGCAGGATAATTTAAGCCTCTCTAACCATGAGTTTAATCAAAAATGTTAGTTTTAAACCCAGCATTGAAAGCATCCAGGGTGTCTGCCTCAAAAACTAATGTAAAGTAACCTAGCCTGCTTCACCATAAACTGTATTTGAGTTCCAAGAAAATATATATACTGCTTTAAACAGGCCTACTGGGATGAATAAAACCTCTGACACTATGTTTCTGTTTCTGAGTGATTTTAAACCAGTACAAAAGGGAATTATCAGTTTTTATCTTTGTGCCTTCTGCTTACATTTCCTACAGTTCATTTCCTGTTTGATGACAGGATGGATAACCTAGCTGATTTGACTTTCTGCTGCCGTTATTTTCAAACACACAGCTTTAAAATGATTAAGTTACGTAGATCAAGCAGGACTGTTGGTTTGCTGTTACTCTACTAGACCTACTATGAAATGATTTGGAAATAAACATGATTAATGGTTTTGGGTAACTCTTTATTTTTATGCAGAACTGTAAATAAATGAGTCAAAATTTGGAAAAAAAAATAGGGGATAAACTTATTTATTTCACTTTCAAAACAGGGCTGAAGAGATGCCACATCACAGTACATTTACAGGTAGATCTCAAAGCGTTAGTATGAACAACTTTACAAAAAGTCCAAGTACATTCAGTTTGAACAAAACACAAAAAAAACTTAGCTTATGCAAAAAAGATTTGCTTTTAAAAAAAACAGATCTTAAGCCTAAAAGCAGCAAGGCCGAACTTCTCAATCGCTTCGTTCAGCAGGAACGTCTGAACTCAAAAGCTGAAGAATAAACGGCCGACGAAGCCCTAAAAACATTTAAAAGGTAGCGGAACAGCTGAGGATGTGATAGAAGAGAGGCTTTACAAAATACATGAAGGTGATGGTTAAAAATCAGTAATGTAAACAGAAATCTGTTATCTTTACATTCTTCCAAAGAAAAAAATGCTACTGAAGAAAAACCAACTCTAGAACAACCTTCATCACTTCTAGAAAGAACCTATTCAAATACTTTTGGTCCAGCAGATGTCGGTGCAGACCTTTGTGTGAAAAATAACTGGAATACTAACAGGAGCAGACAGTGGATCAACTAAAGTGACTCTGACGCATCATTTATAGAGCTTTGAAAAAAGAAAACACTCCTCAATGGGTTCGTTTATTCAAAATACTGAAAGATGAAATGTGGGTCGAATGCAGCCAAGAGGCACTTCTCTAAGAGCAACGTTTACCCCCGTCTGAAGCTACATTTCTCTGTAACGCTAAGGCATCTGGGCTCAGGTCAAAGCTTTGCAAACCGTCAGCTCAAATCTTCAGGAAAAAACTATTTACAATTAACGCGACATTTAAGATAGAAGCATGGTGGATGACGCTCTCGCTAATTCTGCAGCCAGCTAATATGTCGTTCCTCCTTCAAGCACCAGCGTGTCGGTGGTTTCACCAGAGAAACTAAAGCTTTTGTCACAGGGCTGCGTGTGGAACGGACGGCCCTCTGGAGACCACATGAAAACCGTCTCCTTTCGTTTCTTCATATAGAGCGCGCAACCTAAAAATATGAATTTATCCGCACAAAAATAGTTACTTCGATCTAAAAGCTAAGATTTTAATTTTTCTTTTTTTTTTTTTACAAACTTCTTACAGACTTTCTATACATTTAAATATATCTGCCCTAAAGAAAAAGGCAGGAAGACCATTCCCCCCCTGATGGGGGAGGAGTCTTCTCTGCAGACATTTTTTTTTTTTTTTTTTTTACATGTAATCCTCAAATCTCTTAAAATTCTCTGGTTTTCTTTTTTTATAATGTTATATGTAAATCATTCTAATGAACATCCACCCTGGAATTAGTGCCGTTCGTCTTTTGAGGCCAAATTTCCCCTCCACTTCGGTTCAGTTAGCTTCCTGATGTGGAGGAACATACATGACCATATCTGGGGGATTTACTGCTCATTTAAACGTCTAACCATGTGTCATTTGGTTTTACATGCACACACACACACACACACACTACATTTTAGCCTCAAACAAGGGTTTGAATCTTTAATCAGAGGGATTGTTGTTTTGCAGATTGAGCGTCCTTCCCACCTTCTGATGCAGCTCAGGCCTTAGAAGTCTTCCCTTAAAAACAAACAGAGCACTGATTGATTTATTCTGCAGTGTGTATTTAAAAAACATTTTCTGACAGAGGGAAACTCTCCCTACCTGTGGGTCTCAGAATAAAATGGGCTTGCCAGTAGTTTTTTCTTGGACGTAGGTGGTGAAGCGCTTGAGGAACTTGGGGTACTCCCTCTTAGCTACGGCCCTGAGCACGGAGGCAGGAGCCCAGCCCCCTGGATTCACTGCAAACACACGACACACGTTAACATCTAAACTATGTCTGAAAACAAAGACCAAACAAACAGATTTAGGAACAAATCGGTCTATTTTCTAAATACGGGCTGATTTATCATCCATCTTCCATAGGTTTGCTGTTTACACATTTTGTTTTATTTTTAAAGTATGTATTTGTTAGCTTAGCTAAACAATTATCTTTTCTAAACATTTGATTACGTCCTAGAAGCTTACAGTATGGAGGGTCTGTTTACATTCTGGTGTCACCTACAGATTTATTACAGTTAAATTTGTTTACCTCATTATATTGAGCATTAAATATAATAATGAATGAAAAGTATGAGGTACAGAAGAAACATATTAAAGCTTAGAAATTAAAATTAATGACATTAAATAAGGAAAGGCTCAATGTTGCATTTATTTATGATTTCTTCATCAACCATCAACACATTTGTTTATAGATGTTTGAGATCGGCCTGTTTTCCAGTGTAGTCCTGTTTCTCTGACTGTGACTAACTGGAGGTGCTCTCTTCGTCCTCTGACATGGGAGTTGCCTCGGAGCTCGTCTGCCTGGCTGTGTGTTTCTGCCTTTTACAGCTGCTTTTTGTGTCTCTGCTTCTGTCTGAACCCCAGTCGGCCTCAGCAGATGGCCGCTCACACTGATCCTAGTTCTGCTGGAGGTTTCTACCTGTTAAAAGGGAGTTTTTCCTCTCCACTGTCGCTACAAGCATGCTTAGTGTGAGGGATTGCTTTCGAGTCAATGAGTCGATGCCATCAACTGGTTTTCCTTAGATAGAAAACTTTGAGTATGATCTGGTGAACTGTAAAGTGCCGTGAGATGAGATGTGTTGTGAACTGGGGCTATAGAAATAAAGGGAATTGAATTGGCATTTTTTTAATTTCCTATGTCAGCTTTCTGCTGTTAGCAGGCCTAACTAACGCTCTAACATCTACTTTGCACTAATTATCTCGGTTAGAACAGCATTAATTAAGCTTGATGACTTTGATGGGTGAGACAAATGAAATTAATTCCCAACCAGTACAGGCACTAAATAAATCAATAACTTTTTTTAAGCTAAAGAAATATTAGTTACATATTTAACTTAAGATGCATTTTATAAATTGTGTTTTTTTTCCCCTATTATATTGTTCTATCTTGCACATTTAAAAATATAGCTGTTTATAGAGAAAACAAACAAACTATGAGCACACACCGTTGGCAACATAGGTGATTTTACACAGGATGTTGTCCCTGCTGATCTCTTTGTCTCCCTCTGGTGGACTGACCAGGGTCTGACAGATCATGGCGATGTTAATTTTGGCACGCACACATCTGCTGCTTGTCTGAGCAAAAAAACAAACAATAGGGTTACAGCAAGAACAAACAGGTAGATCTTTTTTTTAAAACAGAGGATCTGAGTTCTCACCTGCGCTTCATCGTGATCCACAGAGAAGTTACACACCAGCCAGGTGTCGGGATCGTTCTCGTTGTTGGCCAAAATCTTCCTCATGGCAGAAAGGTAGAGCACATCCCTCTGAGACGCAGGCCACACCCGCTGAAACACAGATCCATTCAGGATGCCGTTTGTCTACCAGCTGCAGGTCCCTACAGGAGTCACCTCCGGCTCTTACCTTGTGTGCTTGGTAGATGATTGCTGCGTTGTCTGAAAGTCTCTCCACAACATTGAAGTTTTCAATAGTAGCTGAAGAAGAAGAAGAAAACGATCGTTATTGGGATCCAGGAAGCGGCTGCCTGATCATGGGCTTCATTCAAACACCTACTTTCCCAGTCGTTGCGGTACGTTGTGTCCCAAAAGTAGTGGCAGACTTCATGGCCTGTGACCCCCTTCACTGAGTGGGTGGCCTTTAATGGATCCAATACGATCCCGTTTTCCTCCACCTCTCTCCGGTAAACCTGTGGAATTGGAAACCGTTTTAACCCTTCGACCAAACTTTGATTTGACTACATGGAAATGTAGAAGCTATCCATAAAAAAAGCAAATATTTTCTTTATCTCAGCTCTTACCTTCATTTCTCCCTCTTCTACCACCAGCTGCCAATTAGCATCTCCACCGACATCCTGCAGCGAGTACGTCATGTGGTTCTGCACCATCTCCTCCACCTACAACACCAGGCTAGTGTTTACTTTTCAGATCAAAGGAGTTACAGGCTGCTTTTATTTTATGGGTAACAAAATAAATTACTTGTTACACTTTAAAGCTGTTAGTTACAATTAAAACAAAAGATTACGTTGTAAGAAAATAAGCCGATGTGAAAGTGTGCAGTAGAAACCCAAACAGGCTTATCTAAAAAGCCACACAACAATAAATCCTTTTTTTTTTTTTTTTTTTTACATCTAAAGTAATATCACTTTCACCAAAAGATCATGTTATTAAACATTTTGCTCAACAAAATTTGTTGATTGCATCAACAAACGTACTTTTTATAATGTCATATCCTTTAAAAGCAAAATCTTTTTCATTTTTTTTTTTTTTTTGCAGTTAGATATTGATGTTTCATAACTTCTCCATTTTCATTCTATTAACAAAAATTTTACTTGATTTCTTTTCTGGTTCTGTTAAAATCAGTTTGACATTGTTTAACTAAATTATTACTAAAGATATGTAGAGATTTGCAAAGCTGTATCTTATAAACTAAAGTAGATGACAGATGAATACTAAAATAGTAAATACTGAACAAAAAAGCGAATCGTTTTTGGGGTCATGATGAGTGAATAATGCAAAACGGACAAAAACGTTTTGTAACATTTTTCTTTCCAATTACCTACGGAAGAGGATTAGGGCCACTGAAAAAAAAAAAGTTACTGATTTTTAAATTTTATTTCAGTTTAACATGGGGAAAAGTCAGAATTCTGACTTTTTCCTCAGAATCCTGACAATAAAAAAAGTCAGAATTCTGAGAAAAAAGTCAGAATTCTGACTTTTTCCCATGTTAAACTGAAATAAAATGTAAAAATCAGTAACTTTTTTTTTTTTTTTTTCCACTGGCCCTAATCCTCTTCCGTAATTACCATATAAGTATTACGTGCACAATAAAAACATTGCATTTAGTTGGACTGAGATTCAGAAAGTGATTCTGTGTTTCAAAACAGGACAGGTTTCGACAAACGGCCGATGATGCAACAATTGGAATCTATCGACTATGATGGAAAGATCAACAAGGAGAGAAATGGGAGACAGAAAGATGGCGGAACTCCAACCTTATCGGAGAATCTGTGGGAACCGGAGGTGGAGTAGACGTCTCCGGGGGGAGGAGGGCTGGATCGCTCTATCCTTGTCTTCTCAGCCTGAGACTAAATAAAAAAAAAAAAAAACAGCATTGGGACGTTGAGTTGGAATTATTGCAGAAACAGGAAGCGCAGCCTGAGCTGATAGGAAAAGCGTCAGCATCACCTGTTCTTCGATTTTATCCTGTCTGTCCAGAGCAGCTTCCACCGCATCGAAGAACTCGTCCTCGTTGATCAGACTGTTTGGACCTTCCTATAAAAGAGACAAGCATTAACTTGTTCATCATCATGATGGTTTCTATGCACAACGGAGGAATTTACCTCATAATCGGGACCCCCAAAGTGAGACTTCTTCTTCAAGTCATTGAGGGCCGATTTATAGCTTTCCTCTATCCTTCGTCTCTTTTCCATTTCCTACATGGAAATGAAACCACAGTTTCAGTAAACAAGCTTGGAAAGATGCTTAATTCAGAGCTAAACATCAGTCCAGATCTCCCAGACCTTGTCCAGTCTCTTCTGCCAGCTGTCCTCTCTCTTCACCATCAGATCGATGCAGTGGGACAGGGTGGCTAAGATCCCAGCTGTGGTGGCCTTGAATGTGATGGCCTCTCCCTTAAAGTCTATTCCATTGATTCCCTTTGTATTCAAGGACTGGAATACTGAAGAAAAAGAATAGAAAAGAAGATAATAAATGCTATGGATAACAAAGACCAGATTTGTGCTCAGAATAATTACAATCAAGCATCCAAAGCTAAAGAGAAACCAAAGAGTTCAGTGTAAATAGCTGCCATGTTGGACATAATGACGATTAAAGGTTAAGAAATCATAGTTCAATGAACTGCTACTATACTAAATGACAACTAAAGATCATATGACTTATTTCGGAAACCTCCCACCCAAAAAACCAAACCATCCTTATAAATAATAAGGTGAGATTCTAGAGGAGCCATCATGCTAACATACGCTCAAAACACTTTCTTTTTTATATTCAAAAATACTATTTTAATAGTTTCATTATGATCAGAGCTGCCTACTTAGTTACAAGTTTCAGAGTTTAACAACATCTACAGTGATTGTAGGGACAGTGTGTAACAAACTTGGGTTTCTATTAGCAAAAAAAATAAAATAATTATTTAATAGATTCATATTCTGGGAAAGAGCTGCAGTGGATGCAGTGGATCGCACGGTTGCCTTGCAGCAAGAAGGTTGCAGGTTCAATTCCCGGCCCGGGGTCTTTCTGCATAGACTTAGCATGTTTTCCCTGAGCATGCATGGGTTCTCTCTGGGTACTCCGACTCCCACAGTTCTAAAAAATGACTGTTAGGTTCATTGGCTTCTCTAAATTCTCCTTAGGTGTGCGTGAATGGGAGTTTGTTCTGTTTGCTTTTGTGTTGTCCTGCGATGGACTGGTGACCTGTCCAGGGTGTACCCCACCTCTAACCCATTGACAGCTGGAGATAGGCGGAAAATGGATAGATGGACATTCTGGGAAAAGTCTAATGTCATCACATCAGAAATGGAAGTGTTCCCATAGCTTAGACTCAGTTTATAAAAACATACATAGGGGGCGGTGCAGCCAGTGGCAGACGCCACGTTGCATCTCCACTTCCATCACATCACTTGAATGGGACAAAGTTGTATTTTAAATCGGTTGTTGTTGGCAAAGGAGTTTAAAACAAGAAAAACAAGCACAGACTATTCTTTCTTCTACTCTCTGTTGCAACAGGGAACCATCTGTACACTCTGAGGCATGAGAAAGAAACCAAAACATCTAGAAGTAATAACCAAGAGAAAACAAGTCTAAATGGGCGTGGCTTTTACCAGGTGGAGACATTTTATGAGGAAGTGAAGCATCAAAACAGACACAGAGTTCAGTCTTTCTGCTGAAGGGTAGGGTACATTATTTTATGTTGAATGTTCTGTTAGAAACAGGGCAGTGAAATCCAGCAGGCCCGGCACAGACAGCTAGTTTGTTTGTTAGCTTACGCTGGATGAGCTCTGATACAGCGGCCAACGGCTGCTGTTATTTTCACACGTCATATAAGGAGCCTTGGATTCTTTCAGTCCTGTTTTCATATAAATTTTTAAATTTTACCCTTTATTTTGAGCAATTTGAAAGAATCAAATGTCACTCCAAGGCCTCTGTAGCTTGTCTCCCACGCTTAAAGAGGAAAGCACCAGTCTATTATTTGTAATTCATATCAGGGACCACTAGATGGAGGTAAATCTGACACACTGTCCCTTTAAGATGTCGACTCAGAGTGAAAGTCTCTGTTTGACTGTTTGGCTAGCTGCCAAGTTAGTCCTGTAAACAGCAGTTGTCCTGATGATTCATTGGTTTGGGAATAAACCTGCAGACTCACAGGAGCATACTGACCAGCAACATAAACAGCTGTTTGAAACAGAGTAAAAACATTCATTCAGACAGAATCTGCTTAAATCTGAGGCTTGGATCAATTTACTCCCTTAAAACTGGATTTATTTCACCCACACTGAGCAGTTTAGCTCAACTCCAAGACTCTGAAGAGGCTAAGCTATAGGTAGCTCCACACATCCACCTTTGGTCAAACTAAAACAGTAAAATAACAGCCTTCTAACTGTGCTTTTATGTTTAATCTGTCATTAAAACAGAACAACTGAATAAAACAGTGATGCAGAGGATTTACTCACATTTCTCTTTGCTTCCATTGTTGTTGTGTAGAAACTCTCCGTCTGTGCGGGTGTTGGGAAAGTCGTCTTCATCGTCTTCTACAACTGAAAAAAAAGAACGAAGGGTTCAGCGTGGAGGTAAAAAACACCAAAAGGTGTAATTACTACATTGCAGTCTTTCTTTGAAAAGCTTCCTTAAGGTCAGCGTCTCTAGACAGGGTCCCGCCTAGAGACTGAGGAGCACAGAAGATCAACAGATCCCAACATGACAATGGTCTGGTTTCATCCTCCGAGTGCAGCGAGTTGGAGAAGGAAGACAGGGAGGGAGGTCAGCAGAACAAAAGCAGGGTTTCATTCATTGTGTTGCTCCAAGTGCAAAGCCAGCCAAGATGCAGAAAGGAGGTTTCTGGTATCACTGCTGTCTGAGTCACACAACAGTCTTTACAAGATTTATTGCATGTTTGCTTCCTGTAAATAATAAACACCTTCACAGGTTCTAAAGCTAAGGAACAAAAACTCTTCACCTTGACTTCTGGACTTAATTAGAAGAAACTTGAGAAAACATGTTCAATTAAAAGTTTAGCCTACAAACTTAGATTATCGTCTAGTTTTCATCTAACAGTCAACAAACAGTAAATAGATAATGGAGAAAGATTCTGTTAAAATATTTGCTGTTATCAATACTTCTATTATTATTAAATAGTCTGATGCAGATGTTTGAAAGCTGACACTGATAACGAATATTTGGACATCGGTCTAACCGATTCCCGATATGTGCTGCCAATATTTTTAAGAGTGTATTCTATATCTATAGGTTGATGCTGCTTATTTTTCCTCCATTTACATAATAAAAATAAAACCATCACAATTTTAATAACAAATATCTAAACAGAAGCCTATATTGATATAAAAAGGAACATTTAATTACAAGTCAATTAAAACATTAACGATGGATCATTGATGCAAGCAATGAATCTATTTTATGAACAAAAATGAAACACTTTTTTTTTTTATTGAAATTTGATAAAAACAAGAAAAAGTAATCTAAAAATTAAAAAAAAGACATCTTAATCAAAAAAAGTTTTGCAAGTAACTTTGTTTTTTGAGATTTTCTTATTTGGAATTATTGTCTTTTTCCAATATATTTTTCATATTTATTTTTTTTATTTCATTTTTTTTAAAACATATCCTTAGAGATTTTATATTTCACATTTATTCTGTAGTTTTCCATTTTTTTTATGATTTTATATTTACATTTTTGTTCCTTCAAATGTCTGTTTTTCAGATGGAGTTTTCACAGATCATATTCTCTTCACTTGAAACCCGATACGAACGCTCGCTGTTGACCAATAAAAATGTTGCTAACATCCAGCAGACCAATAAGAGATTCATCTTCAGGCCCGCCTCCAGAAGTGAATTCATAAAGAACACAATTTGAAAAGAATGTAATTCATAAAACTCAATCTGTAAAAGGAAAAAAAAAATCAAAAATCTGCAAAAAACGTTGAAAACTATTTGAAAAGGTTTTTTTTAAACATAAACCAATGCATCGGTCTATCTTCATTGTTTTTTTAAAGTCAAAATTTGTTTTAGCAGATTTAAAATAATTTGGAATCTCAAGTTAAAATTGATTTAACTGAAGAAAAAAAAAACATAATAGCATTTGAACATAGATATTTTCGAAAATAAAAGAGTAAAGGTTTAGGAAAAAAAATTTACAAAAGAAATGTAGACTAATACTTTCCAACCTTTTATAAAAACAAAAAAAAAGTGTAAAAGTGTAGGTTTACTGCAGGAGTCTACCTTACTCACTGAGCGCCACTGCTATAAACATTTAAATGCTAGGAGAAGAATACTCCTTCTACTTACTTTTGTCTCTCTGCAGTTCATCCTTGGAAACATCAGCACAGCTATCAAAGTACTTCTGAAGCGTGTCCACCTGTCTGCACAAGATGTCTCGGAACGTCTCCATCTCCGCCAGCTTCTCCCGTAGACTGTGACCCTTCTGAAAGGTTAAAAGGGAGAAAAAGCCAGAGGTTATTTGTTCATTCTTTTTGTAGCTCTATACAGGCTTTTCAGTTTGAATAGAGGAATAAACCAGCTCAGTTTTTCTAAAGAGTCTGCAAATAGTGGGGATGCACACAGAATGACCCCTTTCCAAACTTCAAGCTGTGTCATCTATTCTGATAGTAAACTAGTTAGGGTCACAATGATTCATGCAATTACTGGGAAAACGTTTGATTTTTCAGTTTTTCATTAGTTGGGCACAGATTAATTCACTGTAAAGAGCTCCGTAACTGAAATGGAAGGAGGGGGGTCATCTCAGCTCTTTCTCTCCAAAAACGGCCATTCCAAATCCTGACCAATCACAAAGCTGCTATAGAACAAGCAGCAAGTAGCCCTAGACAGGTCTGCTACAAGAAAATGACCTCAGCTGTGATAGAAAGGAAAAAAGCTCTGGTAGAGCATTTAACAACCTGGAGGCCTGTTACTGGCCTCAGAACAGAGTTACTCACCTTGAAGGAAGACGTGGAGGTGGCAGAGTAGCCACTAGCGGCTGACGTGAGAGAAAGCATGGAGCCATGTCTCGGCAAACTGGACTCTGAGCCGTATCCAGAATCAGCCTGAGGAAAAGCAGACGGGCGTCAAACATGGAAATGATGAACATGGAAACAAAGAAATTCATTTAAATTCAAATTTTTAGAGCTCAAATTTAAGTAAAGACGTTTGCGTCTCCCGTATTTTAAGAGACCATTGTTCAGGTAACAGATTTAAACCACATTTCTAAATTAATTTCCTTTTAGAATACAAAAATATAGAATTAACTATTAAATTGTTACCAAAAAAAAGAAGACAAGGCTAATCAAAGATATCACATAAAATAATCCCTGATCACAGGTGAACAACTGCTCCAGCTTCCCTGTAAAGCCCTGCAATTAGCCTCTGTTATATAAGAGCCAGGCTTTCACATCAGCAGCCCTCTGACAGAGAGGAAAGGCTCAGCTACACACAGCCTCTTAGAGAGACTTACAACTTCTGCCACCAGGGGGCATAATATGAAAACACGCCAGACTGGGATTGAAAGCAGACAGAGGTAACTATCGGTCAATGACCAAACGTAACACTGCCTGTGCTCACATGGATGTCAGTCAGAGCCGCTCGGCCTAATCTGCCACTACCCAGAAGCTGATTAACATGGAGAATCCCTCAACTATTTAACAGGAAAAATAGAAAATAAACAACAATGCATGACTAAAAATAACAATCATCACATGCGCATCAAACTGCAGTAACACATGCAAACATGCATTAGACGCATTTTTAACACAAATTATGAACGTTTTAAAAGAACAATCACATTTTAGATAATGATAACCTTTAAAAGATAAGATAATGACTTTTTTTAAAAATCAGGCCTATATAAGGAATATAGAAATATGCTCTTTATAACTAATCAAAAAACACGATTATCATAAAAAAGGAAATATAAAGGAATGAATTTTCTGCAAAATATCATTTTCAGGTATTTCATAACAGATCTATAATTAAATGCTGATCTGATTATTCTTGTCTCTAGGGAACAAGTATTATTTCCTGTTTAGATGTAGCAGGTCTTTCTGATGTTTTGTTGTGACAGATCAAGTGTTTTGTGTCTCCCTGGCGACCCTGGCTCCTGTGAGTAATGGTGGCTGAAAAGTGAAAAGGGTCTCGCTGGAGAGAAGAGTTTTCAGTGGTGACTCATGATGGCTGAAATGAATGTGCAGAGGATTCTCTGCCGCTGATGAGTCACTGCTGCTAGAAAGGGATTTCCCCAAACCAAGGACCGTATCTGAGCTGCATGATTTCCACTAATGTTTGGATTGTTGGTACGAAATAATGAGCAGTGCCTGAAAGACATTCCTTTCTAGCTGTTTAATTGTGTTATAATAATTGATTTTCAACAAATAAAGATCTACATATCATGCTGTTTATGCATCTCTCATCCAAATGGGGAAAGAAAATCAACTAAATACCCATCCATCCATGTCGAACGATAAACCAAGCAAGGAGAGCATTAATAGGATGGAAGACCTAACTGTTCCAGGAACAGCAGTGTGAATACATGCCAAGATAAACAGCCTAGAGATCTTTATAACGTAGGAGCAGCTGCAGGGTTCCAGAGCTCAGGTGGAAGAAGATGCCAACACAACCACTGATGCTTTAGAAACATGTAACCTTTATGGAAGAGTTAGTGAAAAGAAAACGAATCCTGGAAGAGCAGGGGACAAAATAAATGGGGAAAAATGTGCTCTGTTGAGAAGTTTTAGTAACTAAAACTTCACGTCACACTGATCACACGATCCCCAAAGCCTGAACAAAAAAGTCGTTAGGGAAACTAACAGCAAAGGGGCCAATGGCAGGTCTGAGAGAGAGCGGCAGAGATCTAAGAATCAGCTGGGAGAATTTGTCAAAGTAGTAGTGAAATTGGTGACTTAGAAACGACACTGTCAAGGAACGCTACAGACAGAGGAAACATGCAAGGGGAGGAGAGTTTTGTGTCGGAGGTTCTGGATGAGTCTCATCCGTTTTATATAGTGGAGGAAAGCGGGGATGAAGATGTTGTGGAAGAGGACGCCAGGACAGCAGAAGCTTGGTTTGGTGTAGAAGGCTTCCAGCCGTACATGTTTGAGCCCTTGCCTCGCAACGCTGCCAGTTCTGTTAGCTCTACGCCTGCTGAAGACACAGACGTCCATCCCTGTGAACACTGGGACGGAACTCAATGGGAAAGTAATAAAGAACAAATGATTCTTATTTCAATCGTTGCGTATATTAGCTGCAACGTATGAATCACGATGATATGACCGAAAAAATTTGATTGAAAGATATATGATGATATACGATTGATATATGATTGGCCGAATTTAGGTGGTCAGGCTGACGTATAACTAACTGGCCTGCATAAGATTAAAAAAACAACAAAGATTTTAAGATAGGATTTCTTTTTTTAAATAGAAATGTTCTAAATTTTGGGACAATATCATCTGATAAATATTACATTTATATACATGTTTAAACCAGAATGATTTGACAATTAAAGACTTTAAGAGAACAGCTGTCAGTTCAGGACACTAATTTAGCTCTTAGAAAAGGAGAGAAAAGAAGAATACTGTTGAAAGAGAGTCAAGAAAGCTCCCATCTTCAATCTAATACCATCCAAGTTGAAATAAACGTGTTACGAAACACATGTAGGTCAGATTAAACTAAACGCTGCTCATCGACTAAGCTGGCTGGTGTTAATGGGACGATAGATGGAGCTAAAAACAGGGAATTCAGGAGACTATGGGGTGTATTTTGTACCATTATTGTTGCAAGCAAAGAACATGTTCTGTAAATAGAAATTAAAAAAAAACATGCAATCCAGAAACTTAATTTTGAAATAATTCTTAATCCAAAAACGCATTTAGAGTAACTACAATGTTATCTTGGGTTTTGTTTTTTCAAAGATTTTTTTTCTTTTCACAATTTATTTTTCTATTTTTTCTTTCTGATTGAGTTTTCAGAAGCACATTCTTTTCACTTCAAGCCTGATACCAACGCTTGCTCTTGACCAATAGAAATGCGTCTTCACTCCTGATTCCAGGGGAAAGTCCGCCCCCAAAAGTGAAGAGAATGTGATCTGGAAAATGCTTATGTGAAAAGAATACCTCAAACACCTATAACTCGATCTTAAAAAGAAAAAGAATTGAAAATATAAAACATAAAAAAAAATATATATAAACGTGCATATAAAGTACAATTTGCAAATCGGCAAGTTACTCTAAAAACTTTTTTTATTAAGAAGAAAATATCTTTACTGGCAAAAATAATGGAACAAAATTCACTCCATAGAGAAACCACTGTAGGAGGCAAAAGTCTTATATTCTACAGTCAAAGTTGTGATAAAGCGGTTCAGATGAACACATGTCCATGTATTAGAAGGAGAAAATCCAGAATCCCTTTGAGGATCCATGAACTGAACATTAATGTCCACTGATGCTTGCAGACAGATCTGACTGAGCTCGGATCTTTTCACAAAGATGTGCAAAGCTGGTAGAGACAAACCCCGAAAAACTTTCTTCTGTAACTGTTGTAATGACTCTTTTTTCATATTTAAAAACAAACAGCTTTAAACCATTTGATTTCCTTTCACACAACTGAATGAATACTTAGGTAGGTGTCAGAAAAGATAAAGATATAATATTTTAGTTAGTATAAAAAGGTTGGTTTTTGGGTTTTTCCACAGTAGGAACCAGAAATGGCTCCTCCCTCCCTTTGTTCTTTACAAGCTTTTCATCTTTCACACTAACAATGATCCTTCAGAGCATTAATGTGTAAAATCATGCTGATTGTGGGTTTCAGTCTGTTCCAGTCCAAACTGCAGGGTTCACCTGTTCAATCCTAACACATGCATATGTACTTGCTGCTTTGTTATTAGGAAAACATGCTCTAAGTGTTTGGTGCTTAAGACTCCTAGAGAACCCCCCGACAAACAAACCAGTGATGGAGGGATGATTACTGCTCCCTGGATTCCTCCCTTCTGTCTCCTCCCTTCTCTGATACTCTAACAGAAACACACACACACCACACGATGAACACCACATTTATGAATCCAAACATGGTTGAGAGGATACTGATTAGCTCTGAACGTGACTGGGTTCTGGTGTCTTTTCAGACCATCATCTGCTGTGCGGGACTCACCCTGTGCAGCTCGATGAACTCGATCCATCTGTTTCTGCGCTCTGGGTCTTGGGCACGCAGGTACCACACGCTGTCGTTTACGCTGATATCCAGCCGACACTCATCAAACTCATGTGGCTAGAAGAGGCACAAATCAAAAAAGAGAAGAAAAAAAAAACACTTGGTTACTGAGTCATTTAGTTCGATTTACATGGTTGTTTGTCATTACAGCATGAAGTACTTTATCCAGCTGTTATGCATACTTAAAATGTTTTTAATGAATGACATGTCTTTCTGCAGAAATGTTGGCCTCTCTAATTCTAAAAGGAAGGTTTTTGGTAGTATATAAATAATCTAGGAAAGTGAAACATATGAAATATGTCTGCTTGGTTTATGTCAAACTGATACAAACTGCACAAATGCTAACAAGAAGAACAGCTCATATCAAGGCTGGACATGGATTGAAATATCAAGAATCGATCATTTTCCATCTGATCTGGACAAATCTCAAATAGATAACTGATATTCAAATCATTTTTTTTTTTTTAGCTGTAACCTTAATTACTTGAGTTTGTGGCTATGCAACCAACCGATACTAGTACTATAGTAAGATTCAACAGCACATTAAAAAGGTAAAAGGTAGCTAATGGAGGATATAAGTGCAACGGAGTATTAGGGCCAGGCTAGAGATTTAATTTTTCTTCTATTTTGAGAGTAAACTCGTAAGATTACGAGAATAAAGTCGCAACGAGAATAGTCATAATTTTACGACTTTATTCTCATAATTTTATGACTATTCTCGTTGCAACTTTATTCTCGTAATTTTACAACTTTATTCTCATAATTTTATGAGATAAAGTCGCAATGAGAAAAGTCATAAAATTATGAGAATAAAGTTGTAAAATTATGAGAATTAAGTCGCAACGAGAATAGTCATAAAATTATGAGAATAAAGTCGTAAAATTACGAGTATAAAGTCGCAATGAGAAAAGTCATAAAATTATGAGAATAAAGTCGTAAAATTACGAGAATAAAGTCGTAAAATTACGAGAATAAAGTCGCAACGAGAATAGTCATAAAATTATGAGAATAAAGTCGTAAAATTACGAGAATAAAGTCGCAACGAGAATAGTCATAAAATTATGAGAATAAAGTCATAAAATTACGAGAATAAAGTCGCAACGAGAATAGTCATAAAATTATGAGAATAAAGTCACACAATTACGAGAATAAAGTCCTTAGATTACATGAAACAAGTTGTATTTTATGACAACTCTTACAAGAAGCATTTTCTTCCCTAAAATGAGGAATGCCGTTCATTATGTGAAGTTATACTTTGGCTCTGGTTTGACAAATAAGGAAACCTTTTAGCAGCAGCATCAAATTGGGCAGTAGGTCAAAGTGGACTCAGGCTGCTGTTTGGTGGAGCTGGTCGGTCGTCATATGCTGGTCGGAGCTCGAAGCCTTCTTTCTGAAACAGGTTGTTGTATGATGACTTCATTCTCTTAATATTACAACATTATTCTCGTAATGTTATGACTTTATTCTTGAAATAGAAGGAAAAAGCCTGGCCCTAATACTCCGTCGTATATAAGGACAATGAAAAATGCTTTTTTTTATCCGTCTTTGGTTATATGAATTGATCTTCAGGAATTAAGGAGAAAGGATTTTTATTTTTAACAGCTCTAGTTCATATTACTCATATTCTAAGGTATCTGCATGAGCTACCTGTAATGTTTCATGACTAGCTGTTTTTAAACTGGTCTTAGTGAGGATGGTTTAGTGGTATAAGCCATCCACATCCCCCAGGGATGAGTCACTCTATGTCATGCTTCAGTCCTGATCTGTGGATCAGTCATGCTGAAGAGCAGAAGGCAGCAGAGAGCATTGATTTTGACTTAGGGCCAACTTATATATAGATCATTATGCCTCTAGTTTCTTCTTAGACTTAGACAAACTTTATTGTCATTTTGTATACAAAACCAAATTTCAATGCATACTTTTCAACAGTGAATGAGCAGCTTACAATGGTGAAATGAACAGTACCACTTATAAAGTGCAGCAGTGGTCAGAATATAAACAGTGTAGGAGAAAAGGAAAAACAGTTTAAAGTCATGGTGCTAAAGGCATTGATATGGAAAGGTTCAGTGCAGTCCAAATAAATACATGTGGTGAAAAATGCAGTAGAAACATTGAGTTGCGTTCGACTTAAAGGGATTATGAAAAAAAAAAATCAGCCATGTAGTGCAAATATGATGTTTACAAGTGTGTTTTACATTTTTACTTGATCCATATTGAATTTTGCTATTCACTAATTTTACACATTTTATACATTTTCATGGGTTTTGAGAACCTAACTTCCGCACACAGTTAGGACTAAGAAATACTTAAGTGTCTCTTCATCATCATCATCATCATCATCATCATCTCAACTGTTATGTCATCTGTTTCCAACCAACCAACTTCATGTTTTTGTACACTTTGTTTTGCCTTTTCTCTCCCTCCCATGCTTATCCCGATTTAACTCGGTATTTTCCTGAAATGTTATCGTTTGTTCCCATTGTCTCCTTTTGTAAAGAACTTTGTGTTACCCTTGTGCTCTAAAAATAAAGACTTGCTGATTTATTTACTGACTGATAAAAACAACAAAGAGCCTTGTCCGTTTTTTTAATATGTTTTCAGAGAAACAGGAATGATAAAACTTTGCTGAAATGCATCACACCCATCCTTCTGTTTGCTGCAGATCAACTTCCCCCCCAAAACACAAAAAAGCACACTGCTACCTTTCGCCAGCTCTAGCATTTTATTGAGTAAAGAGCTTCACTTTTCTGTGCGTTCCACTCGATAGGAGATGTTTGTTTTCGATTGGCCCAAAATGCATTTTCAGGCTACAGAACAATTACAGGAGCAACTCCTTTTTTGTCCTCCATACTCAGGAGATCAGAGAACTGATACTAACTGCTACCTAAAGGTCACACTGCTAAAACTAATCTAAAAAAAGTAAAACTTTGCGCTTGATTAAAGCAGGTCAATAAGATTATATGGAAAAAGAGAGTGTATTTTTGACTTTTAACATAGGAGAAGTAGATATTATGCACTTGAAATAAGATAATGGATTTGTTTTTACTTATTTTGAGCATAAACATCTTATTGTCGGTAAATTGTCCTGCTTACCTGCTTAAATCAAGGGAAAATATACTTATTTCAAGAAAAAATTACTTGTTTCAAAGCAAAATTGCTAATCTCCACATTATCTGTAATGCATCGAACAATCAATGTTTCTCACAAGGCTTTAACTGGAAGCACAAAAATCATCCAAACACTCAGAGGCGGGAATGGAAAGATTCCTAGGAAAGCTTATCTGTGAATTTTACAGTGCAGAGCACATTTTCTTTCTGTGCACCCGTTTGAGAACTCAGATGTAGTGGAGAGGATAGGAGAGCATTTATGCATTCAGCATTTAAAAAATGAAAAAATAAAAACCAGGGATGTTTGAAAGGACACTTTAACAGATAGCCTCAAGGTTAAACAGCTCTCTAGGTCAGAGTAAAGCAGCAGAACAAGCTGCTATATGAGTGAAACAAGGACAAAGAAACAGGAGATAAAAACAGTAATAAAATAAAAATAAATACTATAGCAAAATGAAGAGAGAAAAAAAAATATATAGCTGGACAAAAAAAGTCCTTTATACACAACTGGAATCTATGCGTCACAAACAGCCTACGAACTGCAGCAATACAGTAGGTGAACTATTCACTGGCAAAAATCCCATCCTACCAACAGAAAACTCAACGTTTACAGCATCTAGATTTTCAGAACAATTAGTTAAAGACAGCCGGAGTCAAAGCCATATTAACAAGGTTTAAAGATATGCATGTATAAACCAGCACTGAACACTTCTGTTCATCCGCAGCCATTAAAAAAGCATTGTAGACTTTCACTAAAGCAGCCTCAGTAGAGCACTGCTTTAGAAAGCTAGAACTAAAAGAATCGGAAACCTGTAACTAAAGGAGTTGAAACATCTTTTTCTATTATTTTAGAAAGAAAAGGTGGCTTTCATATAGGGCCAAAATTTGAAATCAGACCAGCATCAAGGTTAATAAAGTGAGGTTTTAATTGTTAAGCCCAGGACACTCAGAACACTAGCTGCTTCCTAAAAAGTTTTAAAAAAGTTAAAGAAAACAAACCACTGGACCTTGTTTTTCAAGCTTGAAGACATTTCGCTTCCCATCCGGGAAGCTTTTTAATATCAAAATGTCTGAATTAGCGTTGCGTTCCAAGTTTTATAGAGTAGCCTTACAAATGCCTTGTTATGGCTTAGAAAACTTGCTAATTGCACTGTATTGAAGCCATTTTGTTTAGCTATTCTGTGGAATGGAACTCAACCCTAATCCAGACATTTTGAATTGAAAAAGTTTCCTGAACGGGAAGCAAAACGTCCAGTGGTTTGTTTTTTATCTCTTTTGGAATGACTATGACCTGGACGACTGGGAATCTTCACCAGCAACACTAGCTGCCTTTCTATTACAAATGTGCGCAAAAAACAATGTTGATATTCTGCTAATTTTGAAAAAAAAAATTACAGTATTTCCATTAAATAATAAATTTAACTAAAGTTGCTTGTGAATACATTTGTTTATGCGATAACTCTCGAAAACACCACGGCAACGGCAGACACAATAAATATATTTCCATATTTCAGGCACGGCTCTAGTGCTCATCGTCACCAACTAGCTGTTAGAAATGGTTTCCTCATGAATCCAAACATGCTGCGCCATCACCCTCCAACTACCGGACTTCCAGTCTACTTCTACCGGTACTTCTTCATTTTTCTGCAAGGCAGTAAAGATCCAGCTGCAGATCAAGTGACTCATTTCTAAGTGTTTCAATTGCAGTTTTGCAAAATCTAAGAATTTCGAAATGACTGAAAAGCCACTCCATCAAAGTGTTAGAAACTTTCAAGTTTTTTTTTCCTTGTTTAAATTGCAATGTTTCCATTTAGCCATTATTTTTCTTGTAATTACAACTTGTGTAGTTGATGGTTAATGGAAACTCAACTACTGCTCAAAATGAACAGGAGCAGTGGCTGTTTAATCATTGTTAGCTTTACCTCCAAGTAATATGATCAGGAAAACACT